AAGCCGATGCAAATACGATTTCCCCATCCCTCTTATGCAAGATATTTAATCTTGCCCTTGAAAGTGAAACTTATCCTACCTTGTGGAAGGAATCACACATCTTGCCCATTCCTAAGCACGGCAAATCTACATCATTTGATGACTTTCGGTCAATAAACACTAGCCCCGCAGTTTCGAAGATCTTAGAGACAGTGATCGAAGATGAGATGTTGGGTCACCTAACAGTGAATATCCTATTGAGTGCTGCTCAGCATGGATTCCTCAAAGCTCGATCTTGTGACACCTGTCAACTCTCTTTCTTCGACTATGTTCTCCAATCTAGGGACAATGGTTTTGCACTTTACACAGTATATTTCGATTTCACTAAGGCATTTGACTGTGTTGACCATGCTCTTCTTCTCTTGAAACTGCCCTCTTTTGGAATAGGTGGCAAGCTTTTGATTTTTATATCCTCTTACCTGGGCACTCGTACACAACGAGTTAAGATTTCCAATACTATCTCCAAACCCACACGTGTGAGGAGTGGAGTCATTCAGGGTAGTGTACTCGGCTCGCTTACATTTTGCCTTTTCGTTAATGATGTACCAGATTTATTTCAGAATGGTAAGCCTTTCATGTATGCCGATGATCTTAAAGCTGCACATAGATATAAGCCGGCAGATCATGACATCGTGCTTGAGCTCATAAAAAGCGATCTACAGGCTTTCGCCCAGTGGTGCCGCACATGGCACCTTTCTCTTTCCTGGCATAAGTGCTCAGTCATGGTGATTGTCGACGACCGCCAACCTCAAGTAAGTACTGAAGGTCGCGCCATAAACGTGCCTGGGGTTATTAAGGATCTGGGTTTAGCATACCCCAAGAGTCTCAATCTCTCGGAGCACTGTGCTTCGATAGTCTCCAAGCACGTAGAACGACCAGGTTTATCTTCCGAAACTTTAAAACTAGGGACCTTAGAATGCGCCTTTACAACATGTACGTTAGACCTGGTCTGGAATATGGTTCGTTTTTATTTAGCCTCATACGTACTACTGAGCGGAAGAAAATAGAATCTGTTCAGCACTTTTTTACCAAGAGAGTTTTAACCCCGGAACACCGACATTTGTCTTACCAAGAACGTTGTCGGCTTACGGGCCTTGATCCTTTATCGTTCCGTAAATTACAAAAGGGAATATTTTCCTATTTAAACTCTTATATAATCACACACTTAACCCACCCACCTCTTTAAGACATCATGTCCACCCACGACGTAACAGTCACCGTGAGGTCTTTTTATTTTTTCCTCTGGCACGTACTGTTAAATATCGTTGGTTCTTTTCTGTAAATGCAATTGCTATTTGGACTAAACTACCCATGATTGTGAAAAATCTGCAAAATTTTCCCTTATTTAGGAGAACTTTTACTCGATTTTTGCATTCAGAAAATCTGTCACTAATTTTGGGTGCTGAATCCATTGATCGACTCTACTGTAGCGATGGAGTTTTTGGTCTCTGACCACTATGGCCGGTCTCACCAGGGAACATTTCTTTGGCAAACAGCGACAGCTGTTCTTCGGCGCTTCTGTTTGGACTAGCTCCAACTTCATGCATGAAAGTGGCGACTGATATTATCCGATACATTGCAACCGCTCCCTTCTTGACGGTCGAAAGTTTGTCGTCGGCAGTTTTTTTTCTCCTGAACCCTCCAAACCATAAGAACCACCATCAACTATATTTTGATTCCTTTTCCACAGGCGTTTTTTCACTGCTGGTCGGATTTGTG